TAATCCAGAGAGTTAAACCCACCCAAGGTCACATTAAATACTTACTAATAACTAATTAGAAAATTAGTGGGGAAAAAATAACTGAAAGAGGAAGCATTTTGTACTTATTTGGTGTGTAGAAGAGTAGGATTTAGGAAGGCAACAAAATTTAGAGCTCATATTTAAAAAAATAGAAAGTTGCATGCCGCTACCAGTAAATATTTTGGACATTTTTTTATGCCATCAAGACACAAGTTTGTGCATTAGGATATCATTTATAAAATGACATTGTGCCCAGTCTAGTCTCAAGCACTGGGACACAGGGCTCCAAGGAGCAGGACAGAACCAAGGTTCCTCAGGATCCTCCCAGGGTGCTCACACCATCTCCTTTGACCTCGGGTCTGTGGAGCAGCTGTAGGAGCCAGGGCTGTCCCAGCCCCTACCCTCCCACTTCACGTTGCAAACCATAAAGTTCAAGTGCAAAATAAAATAAAATGAAGTGAAAATTCAGCATTAGAAAATTGTTACAAGCAAGATCCACCGGTGAATGCTAAAATCAGCTGCCAAGTTTCAGGAGAAACAGGATATTTACATAGTCTCCAAGCACCTCACGCAAAGTACTTAATTACAAAGGGGAAAATGTGATCTTTACTGTAGTAAAAAGACCTGGCCGGTATCACCTGAACCAACCGTTCAAGGTTAAAATTACCAGTGAGGGAACATACTGATGCCGTGTTGTACCCATTAATATAGTGCACTGGGAAGGGCCCATCACTTCTGTGGTATCCTTCCCAAAAATCTAGGCACACAATCAGGAGAGAAATATCACACAAACCTGGACAACTCAGAACAGTCCGCAAAATGCCTTACAACGGTACTTTCTAGAAGAAGTGTCAAGATCATGAAAGGAAAAGAAAAGAAAAACAGATGAACTGACACAGATCAGGAGAGACTAAAGCACAGAGCAAAATGGAACATGATATCTCGGGTTGGACCCTGAAACAGAATAAGAACATTAGTGGAAAGAAAACTGGTGAAATCCTAATAAAATCTGCCGTCAATAGTGTTGTACAAATGTTTGTTTCTAAGTGTTGATAACTCTGCCATGGTTACACAGGATGTTAATGTTAGGGAAAGCTGAGTCATGGGTATGTATACGGGAACTCTCTGTAAGTCTAAAATTATTTCAAAATAAAAAGTTAACATTTTTTAAACTCTTAAATAAATGTTTAAAATATTTTGTTGTATCATACATCCCAATTTTTGGTTCAGAACCAATGTCACTATGATTGTATAAAACATTAAACATATATTCAATAGTTTGCTTTAAAATGTCTTAAGCATATATGTACATATGCCATTTTTATATAGATTATATAGAGTAACGTTCCTACATTATTAAAAGGAATTACTAATGCAGACTATCTGTTCGAAAGCCATATTCCAAGGCCAACATCAGTGATGCTAAAGAAGAGAAATCTCACTCTTGCCTCAAGGAGCTTCATAATAAGGCCAGATTCCTCACTGCACCTGCAAGCAAAGGTGAGAACGCTGGACGGGAAACACTGTGAGAGACTCTTTGAGGCCCTCGGATGCCCGTCCCCCCACCCCCAGCCACCCCGGGCTGTAGCATCCCACAGCGGGGGCTTCACCCTCCCCAAGGTTCTCATGGTCACGAGCCTTCATTTGCTTATGGCATATGTCTTAGCAAATTGACAAAAATAATCCTTCTTACTGCCGTAGTGGGGGAGAAAATCCATTAAGCACTGGTTATTTGAAAGAAAAAGTCTGCATGTCAAGAAAAAATGATTTGATCTTGCAGTAAAGATCTTTATCTTATGATAATAGCTAACATTTTTAAGGTGGGGAGGGTAGAGTCAGGTGGTGGAGCGCATGCTTAGCATGCACAAGGTCCTGGGTTCGATCGCCCATACCTCCTATAAAAATAAATAAATTAATTAATCCTCCCTCCAAAAAAACACAAACGACATTTTTAAAAACACATTTTTTGAAAGCTTACACTATGTTAAATCTTATGCAAAGCTCTTTATATGCAGCACCTCCTCAAATCCTCCCAAAAACCCAGCGAAGTAAGTATTGTTGTGTCCTTACTTCAGATGAGAGAACTGAGGTGAAGTGAGGTTGAGTAACGTGCCCCAGCTCACCAAGCTAGAAAAAGACAAATCCAGGAATCAAACCAAAGTCGATTTGATTTTAGAGATCACTTAACCCTTCAAATGAACAGCCAGGTCTCTTTTCAGAGCAGCGTTTTCTAAATGTTTGAGAGTCTGGGCAGATCTATAAGATTTAAAGCATGCTGCAAGTATTGTTTTTTAATCTTTTTGCAAACATAACTAAGGTGAACATATAACAAAAACTTTTATGAACAAATCCATACACTTGGCTGGAGAATTGTTTAATTTGCCATGTGAGTACCTGGGGCAAGTTGAAACTTGACTCTGATTCTTTAGCTTTTGTAGACCTCGATGGGATGAACCAGGAACCCTGTCTTCTTAATGCCAAAGGTGTCAGGGTTGTCAACTGCTAGCCAAATGGCAAACAAAACCACTTTGCCTACTTGGCTAACGTAAGAAAAGGACGGAAGAACAAAGATTGTTTAGTCTCAGAATACCATCCCCTGAGGCATCATGGGGAAAATATTAGGGAAACCTAAATCATCCTCCAAAATTCTTTTCCCTTTCCTTTTCTTGTTTGTCAGAGCCTAACTCCCCCTCAGCACAAGCAAGTCAAAACCACCTGTCTTTGGTTTGCTATGGAGATTGGTTAGTGCTTTTTAGCGGCATGTACAGAAGGAGAGGGTAGAAACATTAACGGAGATTGTGTAGGAAG